TTTATTTATAAGAATTCAGATAGGCTTCATTTACTTTTCTTTCTATTACTAAGAAAATTGCATAGTACCTAAAGTCTGGTTAAAAATAAAATGCAGGCAGCCAGGAGCCCGAAGACCCAGGAATTCATCCTGATTTTATTGTTAACTAGCCGTGTGCCTCTGTACTAGTCACTTAACCCTCTGGGCCTTGCTGTCCTCATTTTAAAATGAGGTGGGTGGGATAGGTGATCGTTAAGATTTCTTCAAATTATTGAAAACTTGGGCTGCTACAAAAGTATATTTGTTTGCCTAATTGTGATCCCACAGAGCAGGTGAGGGACTTAGTTATTGTTTGTCAGAGATGTTTATTCTGTGTTTATTTCTGATTACCAAGTACGGGGTACAGAATGTGTCTCAAGCCCACTGGGGGAGATGATAGACTGGCAGTAGGCCTTCCCTTAAAATCGGTAGCACAGCCCTGGACAAGTGGCTAAGGTGGAGCATCATCCCATACACTGAAAGGTTGTGAGTTTGATCCCCGGCCAGCACATGTACAGGAGGCAACTGATCCATGTTTCTCTCTATCTCTCTCTCTAAAATCAGTTTAAAAAGCCATATCCTCAGGTAAGGATTAAAAAAAAATTGTTAGCGCACATTAGCAAATTCTTTATAGAATTCTTAATTTAAACATTATCCAATGGAGGTGTCAGGATTGGAGACTGCTACCCTCAATCAGTCGCTTCAGATTTGATATTTCGTTAGAGACTGCATGTCCTTTGGCAGGAAATCAAAAATAATGTGCATTAGATGTGTCACCAGATCCTTCCAAGAAGGTTGACCATTTCACTAGCATTTCCCTGTGGTTGTGAAGGTTGAGAAGTCCTTGTCTGCTTAACAATCGGGTGCATGATGTAGCTGGATTTTAAGGAAACAGCTAACTGCCTCTGAGCGCACACTTGGGCAGTCTCTGAAAGCTGCTGAGTCACTGCATTGGAGCACAGCCTGCCTTCCTCACATCTCCAGGGCACCTGGGGGGAAATCTTTGGCTGATGTCAACATATTAGGATTAAAAATAAATGTTTATTTTGCATTAGCCACAAATTGCATGACCTAAATTAGCAAGACCCCTTCTGTAAAAATAGATCACAAGACAATACTGATAAACTAACATTCAGAATTCAATTGGGATTAAGGTGTTAGGTAGGAGAAATATGAGGGAATACGATTCATCAAAGAGATTAATGTGGAAGACATTGCTAAAAATAATTTGTGTTCACTTCCCAAATTCATTAAATTGGTCATACAGTCATATGTTTTATTTATTTAATCTATTTTTCAAAATATTTTTATATATTTACAATAATATACTTTAAATCTTTTTTTTTGATAGCTCTTTCAAAATGGAGTCTGTGCATAACAAAGTGAAAAGCCCTGGGAATGATATTTTGCATGTTTCAAGCTTCTACAGTTACTTACGAAATGGTAAAGTTACAGATCTGGTCTGTTTTGTTTTGTTTTTATTTCTACGACATAAAATAACTAGTATTTTATAACTGAATAGCACTCTACAATTTAGAATAAACAATGTGTCTTTTTATTATATTATTTAGTCTACATTTCACATGGTTATATTTTTGTATTCTGCCAATATTGAAATATATGTGAACATTTTTAAAAGTATATCTTTTATTAAAATTAGCCTTATGCATATCTTCTTTTTAAAATGATATTATTTTTTTATTGATTTCAGAGAGGAAGGGAGAGGGGGAGATAGAAACATCAATGATGAGAGAGAATCATTGATTGGCTGCCTCCTGCACGCCCCCTACTGGGGATTGAACCCCCAACTCAGGCAAGTGCCCTTGACTGGAATCGAACCTGGGACCCTTCAGTCCAAAGGCCAATGCTCTATCCACTGAGCAAACCAGCTAGGGCACATCAGTATCTTTATTACCACATAAGTGATTATTTCACTAGAGAATGTTAGAGCTATTTCAGAAGTCATATAATGGTCCTTGAAATCTGTGACAATCTTGCTCTTTAGATTCATCCAAAAACCTGCTTCTTCACATCTTTGACATCTCAGTAAGTGGCAATTCTATCCTTCCAGTTGTTAAGGCCAAAAACTTTGAGGCCATTTTGATGTTTCCCTTTCTCTCACACTCCAGATCTAACCTTTTAGTAATCACCTTGGTTCTACCTTCAGAATATATCCCAGGTTTTGACTACTTCTCTCCACTACAGAACCACCCTTCATGATCCTTAATCACCTCTTGCCTTGATGACTACAGAGGCCTCCTAACCACCCCTCTGCTCCTATTTTTCATTCCTACATCCTATTCCCAACCAGGCAACCAGAGTGACGTATTAGAAACAAAGTCAGAACCTCATGTTTCTGCTTAAAAACCTTTCAGTGGCTTCTGTGTCACTCTGAATAAAAGCCACAGTGTTTAGGATAACTCACAAGGCCCTATATATAGAAGAACCTATATAACCTGGCTTTTCTGCCTACATCATTGCTCACACTCCCAACTGACCTCATCTCTTTATACTCATTTCCTGCTTCCCATAGTCCAGCTACACTGGTCTTTTTACTCAGACCCAAACATGACAGGCAGGTCTAAGGGCCTTCGTATCGGCTGTTTCCTCTGCCTGGAGTTCTTTCCCCAGATTCCAGAGGTCAGCCTGCTGCCCCTCACCTCCACCACACATCCTTCAATTCTTGCTCAAATGCCATTTCATTGAAGGTGTCATCCTTTCTCCCAGCAACCCTACCCCTTTCCCTGTTTTACTCTTTTCCACAATCCTTTTCACTACCTGACATACTATATCGTTTTTTAAATTTGTCATCCACGTCTGGCTAGTAAAATGTAAGTTCCATAGGTTTTCCTTTTCTTTTTATGAGAGCTTTATGCACTGCTATGTTCCCAGTTCCTAGAGCAATGCCTGCAAAGAATTAGGTAATTATGCTTGAATTAGTGGATGAATAGTTAAAAGGACAGTGGTTTTGGAGGTAGTTAAGGTTCAAGATCCAGTTCTGCCACTTACTGTTTCTGTAACTTTACTTCTTCAAAAGCTGTATTTACTGCATTTGTAAAGTTGGAATAATAGTGTGCATGTTACCTCCAAAGTCATATAGTATATTATTGCTACATTGGAATGGCCTGAACAGCAACACATGCGGACCCTCATAGGGCTATTGAAAAGAATATTTGGGATATTTTAGAGTGGGAGTTTATTAATAGCTTCAGTTACGGAGTGACTGGTATTTTGAAAGAATTATGCTAATAATCTTGCATATATTATCTCAGTTAATATATAAAGGACACTATGTAGTACAAGGAACTATCTCTGTTTTACCCTTAGAGAAACTGGAGGTCAGAGAACTTAGATGACTTATTTATCGTCATAAGCACAGGGGCCAGATTCTAGTCCAACTCGGTCTTATTCCAAATCCCTTGCTCTTTCCAGTATGTCAGGCCTCTTCTCACATCTAAGATTACTAGTACTGTTCTCCCTATATGGCCCCATTCTGGGTTGCCTATTTTTTCCTTCGGTAGTGGTTCTTGTTGGGGTATTTATTCTTGTTTTCATTTTTTTTTATTAGACTAGGAAATGGATTAGAATTTGAGGCATAACATAGGTGGTTTCTGCAGGGACCAAGAGACTTGCTAACCAGAGTCAGGGAGCCCCAGACTGTCCTGTGGCTGCCGAACCACACAGCCCGAGCAACTAGCGCTATTACTGATGCATCCCTGATGTTTGGAGTTGACCTTTATAGCATCTACAACCCAGTTAGGTAATAAGCAAATGTTGTTGTGTGTTTTAATAATGGAAAGATGAGAGGTAGAGGGAAAGGAGGGATTTACTCTGTGTTATTAATTCTATAATCAACGCCTGAAGAATAAAATTACACTGTGGCACTCATTCTAAAGGGTTGACAGGAGCCAATACCCACTTCTGTCAGCAAGAATGGTGACTGGGTAATAGTGGTAAACCTGGGATGTTTTCTTTTTATCTTTCCCCCTTCTGTTGCAATTAATTCTTTAACTCACTGACATTGCCAAGAAAAGTTGGCTCTCATTTCCACCTCATATTAAAATTTAATGTCACATTAAAGTGCACTGTGAAGTACCCCCTGATGCCAGTAAGCAGTTACAGTTGAGACCAATACTTCGCTTTGATGGTAGAGTCACAAGGTCAACAAAAGGAGAGAGATCAAAAAAGTGTCCTCTTACCTGCTGTGCTCATAAAGAAATGGAAAATGTGACTTCAAAATCATAGTGCTCTCTCATACTTGCATGTTTTATGCCCTGATCTTGGTCATTTCAAATTCACATTATATGTTCCATCAGGAAAAATAATGATATTAATGAGTTATGTTTCTTATGTATTGTATATCTTTCTTTCATGTTCTCAATTTATATTATACTTAATACCTTATAGCATATTTCCCTTGATCACCGATGTAATGCACACATACATATATGTATTAATATTTAAAATGGTGATTTAATGAAATACATGTTAGACTAGTACTAATTTTAAAAGTTGATAGCAGGATTTCAGACCTATATAATACATTTATTTAAATAGACAATTATAGTCATTTTTCTCTCCAGCACAAGCCCTCGTTGTTTTTATCTCATTCAGGGATCTGGTACCTAGATAATATATTTTACCCTTCAGAAAGCCTTAATTCATCGATTTTTCACTTAGATGATAATATGTACATTTTCAATTAATGAAAAGGTACTTATTAAGTGCTTTTTGTGTAGGAAACTGCTGGACACTCTATAGATCAATTTAAATAAACCAAGCCCTAGCTCACTCTTAAAATTTCACACTGAACATTAAGGCAAATGGATAGAAAGGAGATTCAAGAGGGCAGCCTTAAAAGAAACAATACATAACAAAATGAGGCAAATTAAAACCGAAGTGCTGTACCTATTGATCAGAGTAGCAGAGCTGGGTGAGGACAAATCAAGGGAAGTCTTTTAAATGATTTCTGCATGATAGAGCAATGTACAATTTCAGGAACTGTTTGCATTAAGAAGGAATTACAAAATTTTGTGATCTGTTTGGGTGGGAATATTAGTAGTCATTGCATTTTGTTGGCAAAAAAAGGTACAAAGATGGGTTTAAGGTATAAAGATGAATTTGATTTAACATAGATATGTATTAGTATAATGATTATAAATACATAAATTAACGAATGGTTTTTGTCTCTCACTGTACATGAGAATCATCTGAGGTACTTTTACAGAGTATTAATGCCTGACCCACTGTCATCCTGAGACCTGTTAAATCAGAATCTCTGTAAAGCTGACCCTGGGCTCTGGTGTTTATGAAAAAAGTCTCCCCAAGTGACTCTACTGTCAGCAGCTAGAGTTGAGGACCACTGAGTGCATCCATTTTGAATACTTTCAAGATATAAATGTGTTCTGTATATTTCTAGGCAAGAATGAACCCCATCTACCTGAAGCTGACGTTTCTCTTTTGAAGCTAATTTCCTGTTGGAGAGACCAGTCTGTGCAGGTATGACACAGCTCATGTTCTTGGTTATGGAAGACTTTATTGCTGCTGCGGTTCATGCATCCTCCCCTTTGCTTGAAAGTACGAGTGAGTAGGTATGCTTGTCCTCACACAATGTCCTCTCTGGGCATTTCATTCAACGGGACTAATGCAGAGACTAATAATGAGGGGGAAAGTGGGGAATAATATATACGAGGGTGCACCAAGTTAGGGGGACTGAATGGAGGGAGCTAAGGAAGGGATGTTCATGGTATCAGTGACTTACTACTCATTGAAATTTCACTTTGTGGCACAATTGTCTATTGTTTTTATTTCAAAATGTCCCCAGGCTTAGGAATTTGGTAAGTGTAATTAGAAATTCTTTTTCTATCCTGAGAGTACTTCATTTGTGAGCTAATTTAGAGGGCTGGTTTCCATGCCCAATTGAAGTCTTTTCTTTTTTCAGTCCTTTTTTTTTAGGTCCTAAAAGTAAGTGGATATTTTTGTACATACAAAAAATACCTGTGCATTGATTAGATGAGTACTTATTGGAACTTTGTTCTTGTTCATGAGCTTAAGGCATATCAAATTTGCAAGACAAGAATAGCAGTAAGGACAATTAAAAATGATTATTTTGGGTACAGGAAAACAAAAGAAAATTAACTCAGAACGAACTGTGGGGGTTGACACTATAAAACCAAGTAAACTCAACTGGAATGGTTATTGAAACTTGGCCATGGCGGGGGCGGGTTACCATGGCCAACAAGTTTCTATATGATTTGCCCTTCGCCTAACCTCTTTGCTTATCATTCTCCGTCCTATTTTTGCCATACTGAGCATCTTTATATTTCCAGAATATACAAAGCTCATTTCCACCTTAGGTCAGTACTGTTCTCTTGAGCTGGAATTTTCATTTTTCCATTCATCATTTGCTCAAAAGTCAACTTCTTAGAGAGGTCTGCCCTGATTACTCCATCTAATAGTGCCACCTCCCCCTCACTGACCTCATGCCTCCAGCCACCATCACATTACCCAGTTTTTGTGTGTGCTGTTTTTAATGGAAATTATACCTTTATTTTTTAATATAGTTTTATTATTTCAGAGTAGAAAGGAGAGGGAGAGGGTGAGAGAGATAGAAACACCAATGATGAGAGAGAATCATTGATCAGCTGCCTCCTACACACCCCACACTGGGGATGGAGCCTGCAACCTGGGCATGTGCACTGATCGGGAATGGAACTGTGTCCTCATGGTTCATAGGTCATTGCTCTATTACTGAGCTACACTGACCAGGCTGCACCTGTATTTTTTGCTAGCTTATCTTCTGTTCCCTCACTGTTATAGCAGCTTGCTGAGAGCAGGGGCTTGGTCTCACTCACCCCTCTTTGACCAGTGCTCAGAAAAGCAGTAGTGACAGCAGCCAGTCAATAAGGAATGAATGAATGAATAAATAGCTATGCAAAACCTTCTGTGATAATCAAATGGACATCAGTACATGTTGACTTTACCAGCATATTATCAATAAAGGAGTCTATCTATTAAAGGTATGATTTTTTTTTCCTAGTAGCCAACTAATTCCACAATGGGGAAAAATCCTTAAGAAAATTAATTCAACAGACCATTTATTCTGAATTGCTCTAACTGAAGATCTTTTGTAGTTGTTAAATTGACTTTCAGATAAGTTTTAATGTGGTTTGGACATACTTGGAATAGTGGATCTTTAAGGTTCTATGACACTATGACTTTGTGCAAAATGCTGGGAGCAGGTAAAAATATTCCCAGAGCATTTATGACTCACACTACAGGAAGTCCAAGCTTCACAGTTTGCCTTTCATCTCTGTCACTAGCCTGATGAATGACTCTGGAAGATAGGGTTAACTTGACTATTTTCCTCATGTGTAAAGTGGGAATGAGAATTTTTGCAAGATCCATTTAAATGCTTCATTAAGCAGCCCTCAAATTACTAATAAAGCTGTTTATTTAAGCAGTTTGTCACATCATGTTAACTTGAACCTATTTTCCAATGTATTTTAGAAGCACTAGGTGGGAATGGAATGCTTTTGTAAAAGAGAGCAAAATCCTTCTTCAGAAGTTGAATGTGGGGGAGGAGTACCTTTAAGGGAGCAAGAAGGAATATATTTTTCAGATGAATAAGTTTGTCTGGAAATTGTCTCTTTTGCTTCTCAAACAAGAAACATACCCATATTTTATCCCTACTATGTATAAAATTTATCTTATTGGAATAAGGGCTGGAAAAGCAGCAGCAAGTATTTGGGGTTGCTAATTTGCATGTTTCTGAAGCTGCCCTAACATACTTTGGATTTTCTAATCAAACTCTAGTGAGTGAAATATGACATCAACACCTCTAAGGCAGAGGTGTTGTGGCTTTTTTCAGGAGATGCTGCAAAGACCAGTGTGAGCCAGGTATTGGGAAAATGCTTTTATACCAGAAAATCCGGACACTGGAACTATAAGCAGGCCTTGGGGGCTCTTATGAGTCTTTATAACATTCTGTGCTATTTCACAGTCTTAGTAAAAAAAAAAAAAACATTAAATTTTTTAGCTTGCCTATGGCACTGTAATACTTCTAGTAATAATTACCAGTATATGGCCCAGATTTGTGGCTATCTCTTTCCAGCTAATGGATTAGTGAACCTTATTTTAAATCACTGCACAGTCCCTCATAAGAGTTTAATACTTTGTATATCTATTTCCAGAGAAACTTGCATTCAGAAGACAGCTTGATACCCATAGTGCTTCCAATTCTAGCTCTTTATTAAAATCACAAATACTGTATAAATTTTACATTTTGGGGCGTAAATTTTCCCCTGCAATCTATAAAATTTATCTGCTATATTTACATAGTAGAGAAACTGAAGTATTGATAGTTAGAAAGTATCAGTAAATTCTACTTTCCACAGTTTATGTTTTTAAAGTGTTCAGGATCTATTTCAATTCCATTAGTATTTATTTAGTGCCCACTGTATACCAGACACAGTGATAATGTTATTTTAACCTGCTTATAAGCTGTACAGTGTCTCTGAATTGGAACCATGCTTTATTGATTTCACACTGAGCATAAAGTATATATTTTGACTTTGTCTCCAGCTGGTGTATGCCATTCAATATTCACTTTTAAGTTTTGTGGCTCTGAGTATCCTATTCATTATGATTAATATGTTTCATTTTGTTGTTTTTACTTCCTCTTGTTTTCAATGATACTATTATTAATTATTCTTTTAATATGTATTTATAGTGACAAATATGTCAAAAACCCCAAATTCAACAGTTAAAAAATGTGGTCATGATATATAAACCCAATAATTAGAAATGTTAGGTGAAATTACATAAACTCCTATAGGTTTTTAAGAAAGAATATTGATCCTGGTCGTTACAGACTGTTGTATCCAGTGGGATAGAGGACTTTCTAAGTCACAGTTGTGTGTGTTCCTAGAGATGATGAATATCCCAGTGAGAGGCAGCCATCCTTCCCTGGGGCATATGGCCAATCTGCTCATTCAGGGCGGGTAGGCCATAATCTGGATGGACCGTGGGTCTGAGGATGTCCTCCAATAGTCTCCTGAATTACAGTTATGGACAGAAGAAAGTCCCATACACGATTCTGTGATTGGAAGCTCTCATTCTAGCCTCTCTTGATATCAGAGACTTTGTTTTATAAGTGAGGACGGAAAGTCCCAGAGTAGTACCCGCACTTGTCAAAGGTTGCATTTGTAGTTACTGTCATAGTTGGATCAGAAGCCCAGGCTTTCTCATTTCTTATTTAGAGCTCCTTTTACCACATCATCCACATCTTATAATCAGTGCTGTCAAATAAAATGTGTGACAAAATTAAAATAAAATTCATTGATGTGAAATTGTTCATGAATAATTAATATAGTTTGGTCCACTGTATGATACACATAAATAAGAATGGATCACCTATATTGTGATACAGAGTGTATGCTAGTAAACATTATTTCAAATAGTTAATATAATATCACATATTATAACATGTAGATATTAATATCATGATTCACTAGTATCTTGATTTGTAGAACTGTTAGATTCATGGTATGCAATAACTGACACAGTGTTGAGAATCTCATCACGTGATATGCATGAGTGAGCATTGTGTACCTGTACTGTGACAGGCAGTACTACAGCGTTGGTAGACATGGCATAGTAAAATCACTTCATTCATTATCCTTTTTTTCACAAGCTAACCAAGCATTTGAGTGTGAGCATTTGAATGAACAAGAACAGAGAAATGATCAGCGATTGGGAAGCCTCTGATACTTTTAGGAAGCTTCCCATATTGGAAGGTCAAGGGCCCAGGTCCTTCTGCCACAGTAGCTTAATAAGTATCTGCCATCAGCAACAGCTCTCTGAGTGTCCCTGGAGCCTAAAAGTCTCATACGCTGTCATGCCACATAAAAGAGACTAAATAAATATTTAGATGAATACATGTTCTGTTTTGGGCATCAGCCTCTCTCCATCACCCTCGTGTTGCCCCAAAGCCTACGCCCCAGGCATTGTCAGAGTAGGCTGGGGATAATGCAGAGGGGGCGGTGGCAATTGTGGAACCTGAGTCATTGGAGGACAAGGTTTAGGGGAGAAAGGAGCAGGCATGGGTGTGGCTACATGAAAGGTTTAACTGTCAGAGAAGGATAATAGGAAGGTGTCCCAAGTTCACCTAGATCAGCGGTGCCCTTCCTTTCGCCCTCACTTATTCAGGACTTGGCTTTCCTTGAACTTGACCTAACTCCTAGACTTCATCTCATTCCTTTCCAGAAAGAGGCGAAGGTACACCAGCTTTTTTACTCAGGGGGAGGAGGGGAGAACCTTGGCACAAGATATGCAACAAGGACAGAGGAGCAAAGCTCAGAAGACCTGTCTACCAAGTCTGTGTAGAACTTGGGGTGTCATATACCAGCTTGTTTATTTTAAAAATGAAGATAGTGGATTAGATGCCATGTGACAAGTATCCCCCAGCCCCTCCAGTCCACCACAGGTCCTTGAGTGGGCATGTACCATAATGGGAAATGGCGCCGTGCAGGATTTTAATCTATATAAAGTCACATGCACATACACAGAGTGTAGTAAGATTTATTATTAAATCTTGTCTTTAACTTTTCTGTATTAAGCCTAGTTTAAATCATGTGTTTTTAGCTAAATAGTGCTTTAGAGCTAGACATGGTGTGAGGAAATACACTTGTCTTTAAGAGCATTGGGACATATTCAAATTAATTTCCTTTATTTTCCAGCAGAAGTTAAAACATCTTAAGAGAAGGGATTCAAAACTCCTTTCAAATTTCCTATATAGTATTTTGCATTTATGAAAGATCAGTGTGATGGTTTGGGTGCCAGTTCTCAGTATCTGCATTTTAATGATTTCAGGTGTTAATCCTAGTGGAATGGAACATTGCAATTTATGTGAAACCTTTCTAATCGAAATTTCAGGCTTTGGGTTTTTTGCCAAACAGATTATTATTATTTGTAATAATACTAAATATAATTTGTATGGAAACACAAACTCAACAGGTAACTGAAGCAATACAAGCTGTTCTCTTGGCGGAAGTTCAACAGCACATGAAGACGTTGAGAAGGACACCAGTCAACAGTGAACCAGCATCCATGACTGAGAATGATAACTACCAGATGATGCAGACCCGGCCAAAGATGGAATGCACGGAGGAGCTAGAGTTACAGTGTATTACAGGCAGTTTGTCTCTGCAAAGTAAGTGCAAAATTTATTGGCATCCTCTTTCATCAGGATTTTTTCTACTACTTAGAACTTCTTGAGAATATGAGCTCACAGTATATCATTTCTGCAAAATCCAAGCCAAGTGCCCCGTATCTGACCTGTTCTGCCATCAATTTCCTCTTATAATTGTCAGATTTTTAAAGAACTTCTAAATTCTATTATAATAAGTAAATATTTCTCCAAAACAAAAACCTATTATCATTTATAAAAAATGTTTTGAAATTAAGTGATTAAAAAATGAAAACAGGCCCTAACCGGTTTGGCTCAGTGGATAGAGCTTTGGCCTGCAGACTGAAGGGTCCCAAGTTCGATTCCGGTCAAGGGCATGTACCTTGGTTGTGGGCACATCCCCAGTAGGGGGCGTGCAGGAGGCAGCTGATCGATGTTTCTCTCTCATTGATGTTTCTACCTCTCTATTCCTCTCCCTTCCTCTCTGTAAAAAATCAATAAAATATATTTTTTAAAAAAAATGAAAACAGGATTAACAGTAATAGCTTAATGGGATATACAGTATAAGAATACCTCATCATAATGGGTCCTAAGTTTGTTTTCATTTGCTACCACGTAGTACCCATGTGCCAGATTTTTTTCTTTTCTGGGAATAAGAGACATAATAGAAACTAAAATTAAACTGGTTTATAGTTAGACCACTTGATTTTATAACAGATTTTATCATTATAACTTTATAATGGTAATGTTTATGGCTTATGGCAAGCAAGTGAATCTAAATTTCTGCTGTCAAACATTAACTGATTTTTCATTCATTAGCTGTGACTTAAAAAAGAAGTAAAAAACAGTTAAAAAAATAAGTGCAAATTTGATTTTCAAATTTACTAGTAAGCTTTTGATGAAAAATCGATTTATAATATGACCAAATGTATATTTTTGTCAGGAAAACATGTTACAAATTTACATGTTCCAGGTTGTTTAAAATTGTTAGGTACTCAAAAAGAGATTTTCTTTTTATTTATTTGGGACCCTGAAAAATGTTGCTACAGTTAAAATGTTTAAATCTTAGAAGAGATGTCATTCTTAAAAATGCATTACATTTTTTTCCTTCTTGATATTATTTTTATAAGATTACTGATGGGAGAGCACTATGTAGTGAAAGAAGATATAGCAGAAAAAAAAGGCTTCTTCAGTAAGGCCAAAAATCAAAATAGAATATTTCCTGATACCAACACCGTTACTGAGGATGGAAAATCCAATAAGTAATTTGATAAATTTCAAGTCATTTGTTAGTTGTCCAGAAATTAGCTTAATTAACTGATAGATTCACCCAGTTGAAGGAGCTCCTTTTTGATTACATCATGTAATTGTAATTGTGTGACACATTTCAAGCAAGAAGCATTTTAAATTCCTTTTTAAATTCATTTTCAATTTACTGCATTTGAGTTCTCAATTCATTTGAAGAGGCACCCTTAGTGCCATTAATAGGTTTCTTCCAACTCTCCAAACACAGCTAATGTCATTCATCATGTGTAAGTGCCCCTCAGGAGGTGTTTCTGTGCCTTTTTCCTCATCGTGAGGGTCTAACTTAGCCATTGGCCCAAAGATCTGTTTTCTAGGTGAGAAATTCATGGCAGGCGATCAAGGTGAAACTTCTGATGAGTTTTGTTGTCACATGAGCTACCTGTTACTTGAAGTTTCACTGAGGCCCTCTGTCCCCAGTTAATTATTGGGTATAAGAACTATTAACACTATACTATTTAATCTTACTATGACTAGAGACACCCAGAATTCATGTTAGATATTAGCTATCTTTAAGTTATTTTGGAATGAGCCTTTGCTAATGTTAAAAGAAAGTTTAGGGTTTGTTTGTGATAAGAATTGGAACACAAAAATATTATAATTTATATGTTGTAGTATATGTTGGTAGATGAAATTTAGAACATTTTAACTAAAAAAAATGCTCAAAAAATGCTGAGCATATATTTTTGGGGGGAAATGCTTCCTGTAGGAAAATATTAACTGCAATTACAAGTAAATCAGAAACACATAACATGCATTGAAAAGGAAAATTTTCCAAGTAATTTTTTCAAGTAAATTTCCAAGTTATATTTATATTAACACTACCTATTCAGAGAAACTTAGAAAAATGACAGGAAAAATTTTAGACTTTTATTACAGTAGTATGTACTGCATTACTTGAAGGAATTTTAAAATTATTTAAGTAAAAAAGCAATTTTATTTATTTCAAATGTCTTGATTCAAAGGTTATGGAGATGGTGTGGTACTCTTCATCAGTGCAATTATTCCTCAAATTTTGTAGGCAGTTACTTAGGCAGAATGTCATTGCAACATCTATTATTTTACCAAATATTATTATGATAAATTGTTTATGTCATTTAATTTTATTGGGTTCTTGTTCACTTGTCATCTGTGAGCTCCCCTCCACACCCTTTTAAAATTATTTTTTCTTTTTAATTGAATTTTTTAATTCTTTTTTGGTTACTTGATGCATCCTCTTTGTTAATCATTTGGAAAGTAAGAGATGGCGGTTTTATGATGCACAGATACTCAAAAACTCCTTTTATGCCAGGACATAGTATATTTGGTTTATTAGTATGATAGTAATATAGAAATAATAGGTATGGAAAATAATAATAACAATTATCATATTCTTAGTACACTCCAACACAATTACAAATGTTCTCTCACTTTTTCCTTTGATTCATACATAATTCACATGAACCTTAAGTCTGTTTTCAACATTCGAGTCATTTGTGTAATCAATTTTATAGTTTTTAAATGTCCATGTTTATGGAAATGAAGTTTTAAAGCACAGCTGGAAAAAAAAACACTCTCTGAGGAAGACAGATCCTGAGAAATTGCTCCTGTAATTTTCTTATTTGACACACTAATGATATATCTCCCTCATATACATGAAATGAAAAATATTTGAAAATAAGACCATCACCATACCAGCTATCTTGAATGCCACCAGTGGTGTATATCTTGCACCTTGCTTTCTTTTATTATACTTTTTTTCAATGAATAAAACTGGGATTTAAAAGAGGGTGAGTGTCTTGTCTACAGTCAAAATATTACTGAAAACATGGATGCATATTCTCTAAACACTGTGTTCTTGTCCAGTAAACTGCATTTTCACACTGGCAGCTTGAAGGAAATTTGCTCTAAATCAGCTCAATCTGAAAATTGAATAATTTATCGAGTGGTTTTCTTAGATTTTTATTCCTCTCTCATAAATCATACTTTCTATTACCAAAGAAAATGCAGAGTGTTCAATCGCTGCCCTCTCAGCCCTTATACTAAAGAAAATCACCAGATTTTTTTTAACTATTTGTACGTGAGATGCATCTAGAAAGCAGTGGAAATGAGTGAAATGAAATTGAAGCATAATGTGCTTGAACTTTATAATTCTATATCTTGTTTATTTCCAGTGTTTTCATTTCTTACGTATTTTATTTGAGGTATTAATATTTGTCTATTGGTATTTTATGGGAGAGTGGTGGATTTTATCTGAGTTTACTTTTTTATAATGATTACATTACTATCTTCTTTAAATCTCTTTATTGAGAAATTATATAAATAACATTCACATTTGAGGCGTTGATTTAAAAATAGTAGTGTTTCCTATTATTAAAATACATTTGAAGGTTATTTTCCTTTATTTTTTTTTTGAATGTTATTTGGATCAGTTTAGACAAGTGCTCTCTAAATTGTTCCATTAAATAAATTGGTTTAAATAGAAATGGAGGTTTTGCAGATAAAGCTGTCACCTGGAATTATTGGCTGAATTTAAATTCACATTAAACTGTAGTTGTGAAGACCATGCCTCAAATACCGGTATTGCAAATAATCTTTATTAGATGCACCATTTTCAAAGACTTATCTACAAAATTAAATAATGAAAATGTGCTCTTTGTTTATAGTAAATCAAAGAAATAAACATTGATTCACCAGAAAAGTTGTGTGGTTCTTGGTGGCCGATAGCAGAGGGACTGGCTTGCGATGGTCTTCCTTTGCCTGCCGAGTTTCTCAGAAGGAAAACTGTCTAGTTGTTAAAAAGCTTTGAAATACAGTTGACAACGCTTTTTTCACTGTCTTTATTTCTAGTAAATGCATCTTCCACCGCCCTCTCTTTGGTCTTCAGGCTAAATGAGAAGACCAAGACTTTATTCTTTCTGGCCACAGCACTCATTTAGGAAAGGTCTGTGTGGCATGAGTGAGCAAGGAGCAGAAAAGTAATGGTGGGGGCACATCACAGAGGGCCTTGGTTGTCACAGTGAGATCCTAGGGTTTCTCTCTGAGATGGGAAACCATTTGAGCAGACAAATGGCACACATTTCAATGGAATCACATTGTCTGAGGTTCAGGGGCCAAGGACAGACGCAGGGAGACCAGTTGGGAGCCATTATACTAACCTTGAGGATGGCAGCCTCGCTCAAATATGGTGGCCTGGATGAAGATGATGGAAAGTGATCAGACTCCAAATGTATTTGGAAGGCAGAGCTGACAGTATTTGCTGATGGGATAAGTATGGAGGAGTGAAATGAAAATCTATACTTAGATTATTTCAAACAAAAAGTATTTGATACAAGATCGACCCTGATGTTCTGGCTCGATTTGGTAGTGCAGTGTTGCACATGGTATTCCAGGTTTGCTGAAGGAAGAGTGGAAAACCCACTGCACACTCCCACCTGCCCCTGCGGTGTTCAGTTTCAACTGCCCCTGCTTAGATGACTTCTAGTATTAACTAACCCTCAGAAAATGGACAAGAGTTTCCTGCCAAGAAACTATGGCTAGAAGACAATACCAATAATGCAAGCTTAAGCAAATGAGATGTAACTGACATTGGCAAACTTATACTAAGTTATGTCAGACGTGTGTGCGTGTGTCTGCGTGTGTGTGATACTCTTTTGAAATTTCTACTTTCATGTATATTTTATAATTAGGCATAATTTTGCTATACAAATAGCATGTACGTTGTTTGTAAACAAATGTATGTA